GAAGCAACTTTTTCCTTAGCGAAAATGCAATCCGCGGCTTCGTTTACGAGTTATTAACGAAAAACAGTGACCAATCAGAGGCGAGATCATTTGGCGCGAGACGGCCGAGCCAGTGAGCGGAACTGGGCTCCGCGCACTCGTTGGCTGGGTCGCCGCGCGCCAGCCGAGCTCGCCTCTTATTGGTCAGTGTTTTTCGTTAATAACTCGTAAACGAAGCCTCGGAGAAAATTTTCGCAAAGGAAAAAGTTGCTTCAAATGACCCCATATATATACAGGGTGTCCCGAAAATGTCTCGCAATCCAGAAATGGGAGGTTCCTGGGGTCATTCGAAGCAACTTTTATATATATAATAATAATATTATATAATTATATATATATAATATTATTTTTTTATTATTAATATATACAACATTTAATTCAAGTTAACTATCTATCACTTCTTTTTACTGTTGATCGGGTGTCCAGATAAGGTAAGAATGTTAATTAATGTCGTCCAAGCTGCAGAACACAACAAATTACGTTTCTGACTCGCGAGTGGGGTAGTAGCATTGCGTTGGTTTCCCGCACCAGCGAATTAAATCGCTACCGATCGGAGATCTCCTTTGTTCCCTGGCGCGCGTTCGCTACGCGCGAAACGCTTTTGTTCCCCTTTTCAAATACAACCGTTGGCCGCGGTGGAAAAAAATCCGTTCACCGACGGAACTTGTAACGAAGTCCGTTAACAACGCCTCGCGTACGCCGCAATTTCTGGTTTTCGCATCCAACGTTCCATTGAAAAGAGTAATTGAACAGCGAAACCTTTTGTATAACGAGTCACCCGCGGTCCGGGTTTTTATCATTAATGTTCCGTCGGCCGGAACTTTCTCGCGGCTTTCCCCTTACGTTTGAGAGCGTACACGGCTGACGCAAAGGGGAGAATTAAGACACGGGGAAGAAGGATAGCTGTTATGGCTACGGTGTGCGGGCTCGCTAAAAGGCCAGTCTCATTTTCAGAAGTTCCTCGGCGAAGTCAGACAAAGCGACCTTTTCCCTTTTACAACCATCCTCCTCTCGTTCTCATCAGCTTCTGAGCGCCACATTTTCATGTTTAAGAGTGGAAAAGATCGTCGACGGTATTAATTTCAATCGTAGTTTAATATCCGGCTCGCCATGTGGCGCAATAACGGGACCATTTATAGTCTTGCTTCCTTTTGTCGGGAGAATTAGAGTCGTTCAATTACTTCTGTCTCTGTATTTATACGAAAAAATGCTTGATATTATGGATGAAATAATTGTGCTGTAATATTTCTGCTCGGGAGAGTCGCCTAAGTTCGATAAGGGTTCTTGTTCGTTCGTAAACAGCGCCGAATTTTTTGCAAGCAGGAAACGTTAAAGGTTTGAAATACTCGAATCTGATTGGTCGAAAGAAATTCAACTCGGCCAATGAGAGCGTGCGCAGCTAGATTTCGTTCGCGCAGCCGCCATTTGTTTTTTGAACGGTGCTGGACGGTTCCCAGTGAAGCAGGAGAATGGTAAAGTACAAATTATTTATTGTTTTATAATGTATTTGTTTTGGTTTCGTTGGAAGAGACTACTAGCGTTTCTTTATCGTACGATCTAAATAAGTCGTATTCGTCGATTAGTATGCGCCGACATTTTTCGGTCACGTGTCGGTAGTCACGTCTAGTTCTGGTCGTTAAAAAGTAACGATGCATTTTATTTACTGATACGATGATACACATATGGTTCTCAACATAAAATATAAAAAAATATTAAAAGATTTACAATATATCGGTTGTTAACGCGATTTATTAAAGTGGCTCATGCCTCAGTGGTGGTTGGTACTTTGTCCGCATCAGTCGTGGACACGATCCGTGGTTCTATTAGTTGGGCAATATTTATTGTTATAGTGTCATTTACTGTTTGGATCTCTTCATCTTCGATAAGCGTAAATTTTCCAACTGGTACTTGAACCTCGGATAAGCCATCTACGGAACATCAATTTCTCATTCGATTACTCGAAATTTATTGTTGCATAGAATGACTTCAAATTCACTTACATAACACTTTAAAGGTGTACAGTAGAGTTTTAGGACAATACGATATTACTTTGGCCACGATGAACTCTGAAACCTGTGGTGTATAATCCGAACCAATTTTGAGCATCTGAAAATTCAATCAGCATATATATATTCATTGTTCGCCATTTTAACTAATAAAGCGCTTACCTTGAACGCCACTATATCTTTCAGTTCAGGTTTTGCTATCAGAGCTGGACAAGCTTCGAGATCTTTACTTGTTAATTCTCTCCCTTCTTGCAACTGTTTGAGCACATTGTTGCTCTTGCTGTTATTCTCCAATTTATTCTCTTCATCGGATACGTGTTCGAGTTTGATCTCCTGCTTCACCTGCGAGTTTGTGAAAGTAACCGGAGTAGAATTTTCACCCAGAGATAACAGGTTAGCAAGCTCAGAAGGTGCTTCTTCAATGGTGCAAGATCCGTTCATCTTATTGCTCGGAGTAATTTCCTTTTCTACGATTTCTGGACTGTCTAGATTATCAAACCTTATATGCTTGCTGGTAGATATCACATAAGTATTTATTATTTTGGGTTTCCTAGTGACAAGCTCAGTTTTTACAGACTTCGTAACCTCCTGTGTCTTCTTCTTCCTCCTTGTTCTTGTTCTTTTCCTTTTCAGACGCAAGCTACTGTCTACATTTAAATCGGAGAGAATCTGCCCATCTACTTTCGAGTCGCTTGTACTGTTCATTTCATCTTCTGTTCTGTCATATATCATACTACTAGTTTCTAAAGCATCTGGAAAGATAGTTTTACAACATTAATCAACTAAATGAAGATTAAGGATTTAAATCGATTTTCTTACCATTCTGGGACCTATTTAAAGCATCAATTAATTCGTTCTTTTCAACAACACTTGGCTCTGATTGGACAGAATAAAAATTAGTCTGCGACTCTTTGTGTAAAACCAAATTACTAATTATTTCTGTTTTCGCAAAACTGTCCCGAACTTCTGGAACCGTTGTATTGATTGCTATTGTTGGTAACTCTGTCTCCCCTTCTAGTCCCGTTCCTGGACAAACACTGCAACAATTCAGAATTTTGTCAGTTATGTTTATATATTTTGACAGCTCAAGCACACAACAATGGTACACGACAATCAAATTCTATTAAAAATTGTGATTCTGTTGTTTCTCAAAATCTTCTACGAGCTACAGTTATCCAATAACAGACAAGATCCTCACAGTATTGTCTCGTTTTCCTTGAGAACACGAATATCCTCGTCAGGTGGCAAATACTCGGTCTCATTTAACAACAAATGAAACGGCTCTTTGATATTAAACAGTTTTGTGATGTGATCAACCGCATGGGCGATCCGCAGCATTTTCGTGCCATCCACGAAAATCCAACAAAACCGACGAACATCGTTGTAAAATTTGCACAGATCCACCCTGACACGAAAATTCGACCGGCACATTTTCACTGTTGAGGTTACTTTCCATTTATCTTTAGAAACAAGCGCCATTTTCCTGGCGGTCGGTTGCCGAATACTCGAAATCAACAAACAATGATAAATTCGTCAAGCTGGCCGCTCATGCCCTCTGCAGTCGATGATCAACTGTATATACACTTAAAAATAATATCACAGGCACACAAAGTTTCTAGCTGAAAATGCAGAAGACATTACACAACAGATATCATATCTATAATTGCCTATATCTTACATTATTCCATATAATATAATTTAATCCTTCCAGATAATCAAACATATTGAAACAGAAATGAAGAAGATAATAATAAGCACGAAGACACTATAGCTCGAAATAACTATACCTTATCTGTGATATCGCATTATATCATCTGTTGATAAAAATTGGTTAGCTGTTTAAGCGTACTGCCACTACGTGAATTGGTGTTCAGGTTTTATGAATAAAGTGTTATATTAATAATTGAAAGAGAACAACTACGAAAGTGAAAGTGATATATACTATATGATATATACTATACTATATTTCATATATATATGATATATACTATACTATATACTATACTATACTATACTATGTGTATACACTACTTTAGTTAAACTATCCTAATTAACATTTCCGACCATCCAAAAAATGAAGCTTTAATAAAATCATTTTTAAATAAGTGAAAACAGATAAATGGGATCACATTTTGAACTCTGCGAATAGAATATATGTATATATAGAATATTCTAGCTTCGTTCAACACTTTTACAACCGCGTCAAGAGTCTCAAAAATTTCATAAAATTAAAGTATTGCAAAGCAAAATTATACGACATCGATTACTTCGTCAACATTCTGACGCGAATATTATTAATTAATTAAAGGTCAACGGGTTAATGAGGAAAGACTTGGTGTCCGTGGAAGTTGAATACGACATCCATCTTTTATTTAATTTCTGATAACGCGATGATACAAAGTTAAGAGCTTACACGGTACTAGTGTTCTGTCGCCAGATTACTTCGTCCAAAGCTACGCTAGAAATTAATTAGTCACAGTCGCGTCCGCGAGCACGAACCCGACGCGATCGCTTTACTTACACACGGTCGGGTTCGCTCGTCTCAAGTCGTTTCTCGGTCTAGACAACATTAAATCTAAGTAACACGAAGGTAACGGGATCGCAAAAAGTCCAGATGAATAGATGTGTTTTTGTTTGTGTATGTGTGTAGATTCGTATGCGTGTTGTGTTGTGTGTATTTATCAGCAGAAGTTACGCCCGACATAGAGTCCCGAGCAGTGTTAGAAAGCTTACGACTCGACACGCGATTTTACATTGAAAATTGATTTACTGTTATCGTGATGCGCGACATTTCAATTACGTTCGCTAAGCCCTCGGATCGCGGGCTCCACCGCTCGCGGCCGTTCAAACCTTGTCTATTTATGTAAAATTATGGCCCAATGTGGGCTCCGATTCGACGAGATATCCACATCACAATATTCTGTTATTTACATAGACTCTCTACATTTATGCTAACGAAGTATATATATCTATATTTATATTTATAACGAAGTATATATATTTATAATTTATAATATATAATATATAATATATAATATATATATAGATGTATATATATTATATGTATATCGTAATACAAAGATGACACTAGTTACTTTATTCCCCCGAAACGATGTAATTACAACGCCGTCCGACAAACGGAAAATACAATAATAAAAAAACGCTCGCTCTGTCTAATCCTTAAAATCAACGATCGTTGCACATGGTTCGCCGAAAATCTCGCCGTGTCGCGACAAAAACGGTGGTGTGTCTTTCCTTTTTACGTATTTCAGCGTGCAGCGCGTAAACCAACGGTCGCGCTATTAAGTATAGAATCTTCGAAAAGCTAATCCGCGATCAAACAGAGTTTGTACCCGGTATTACAGACGTTCCGCCTGAACGTGTTATTGTACTTACAAGTAACTCAGGCTCGGGCAAAGGCAATCGTGTACAAGAATTTTTATGTATTATTGTAATTGACAAATAATTCGATATTCCTCGCGAAGAAGAAGAGTGAGAGAGAGTGAGAGAGAGAGAGAGAGAGAGAGAAGGAGGGGAGAGAGACATCAACGCTGGAAGTACCGGACGGTTAATTATTATTTGTGTCTCGTTTGCTAATGAAATCATAGAGGTCCGAGGAATATTGATTCCTCGAAGAACTCGGTAGACAGAAATTTTCGCGAGATGTTCCCGGCAGTTCCAGCGTTAATTCTGTGGCTGCGAGGAAGAACGCCGCAAAGTCACGTGTTTTCACTTCCGAGACATTGTCGCTTAATTTTATTCAAGTAAATTTTAATTGAATGATTTTAATCGAATAAATTTTGATTGAATGATTTTAATCGAATAAATTTTGATTGAATGATTTTAATCGAATAAATTTGGATCAAATGATTTTAATCGAATAAATTTGGATTAAATGATTTTAATCGAATAAATTTCGATTAAATAATTTCGATCAAATAAATTGAATTTCATTTAAATTTCTAAATTTCTCGAAGTTTATAGAATTTCTTTTCGCGTCGTTTCTTCCGATAAGTACATAAATCCTGTACGCCGCAGTTCAATTAACGCATTAGCTGAAATCTTTCGAAATCGTGGACTGCAGCGTTTTTCCCTATAGCCGCAGAATTGTGCGGCGTGATTCACGAAGGTAAACACACCGGGACGTGGATCTTCTGTTACGCTCTCAAACAAATTACGCAGCGCAGAGAAGAGCGTGGGCGGCTGGGAATTCAATCGATTGGCCAACGATACTTTATAAAACGTCTTCCGTGGACGTTTGCTTGTGCTGCTTGTAACGGGTAATAAGGTAGGCGAGCTGGGCAGTGGGAGAGAAACCCTGAAATAGGACACGGGACGCCTCGACGCGTCCGGAAAAGATTGGACACGGTCTTAATAATTCGGTATGATCGCTGAACGTTCGAACCCGCTGCAATTTGGTCGACTTCCCGCCGTGAACGATTTCGCCGAACGGTCTTGATTCCGCGAATCGGTGATTCGCGGCATCCCAAAGAAACTCCCTCATCGGATCCCAATTTCCGCTATTAATCTACACAAGTACACGCGGGCCGTTCTATCGTCTAATCGCCGAGACGCGAACGTGGTTCACGGATGAACCGCGAATATTGTGCGTTCGCTAATAGCAACACGAAAAGAGTTCGGAGATACAGTTCTCTCTCGCAATAGTTCGCATACTCCTCCGTCGCATTTGAACGCTTGCTTGACTGGCGAATTAAGTCACTTTTCTTGATATTGCACAAAATTGCAGTTTCGCGTAACAACGAACGAAAGATTAAATACAAAATGTAACTTTATTGTAACGAGATTAAGCGAAGGAATCGTAATTATGTCGTTATAGCTTAACATAAAATCCGTGTGTGATTATTACGTACGCCATGCGGTTATTAATTTATTAGTAATTATTAATTAGTTACAATAAGTAATAGTCATAAGCAGTTGTAATTAGTTAAGGAAACCGATGAAACACGTTTGCAGCGTTGATCGTTAAATCACTGTTCGAATCGTTCAAAGATACGTTCTGACTCCTTCATTGCAGTGTAATCGACTAGTAATCAGTCTAATTACATGGCGCCAGAGTTGGGCAAATTTTATTTCAAATAATAAACAACGAATTACAAATTAGCTTAATATTTCATTTGCGAACATTTCTTTGTTCAGTGCAAAAGTCATTCAAATAATTCCACAAATAATTCATTCATTATTTCTTATTCGCCAATGAAATGATCATTTGAATGCACGTTTACTCCAACGATGACCAACTCTGCATAACGCGTTGGTTAACTCGTGTTAAATGAAAACGAGATATTCGCAAAACGTGCGCCGCGTTATACGAGAAGTAACTTGTGTTACCGAATTATTTGGAGAGGGTGCTGTATCCGCTGGCAAATGGTATGCTCCCGACTCAAGGATGTATTGGTAAGATTGGTGTTCGAGGTACCGCAGCGAAGAAATCGAGGACAAAATGTAGAATACATCGAGCACATAGACCTGCGCTAAATACATCGAATTAATCGAACAGTGAACATCTATCTCTCGGTATCGCGATCCCAGGCGGTTTCTCGCTGCGAGGACGACCCTCCTGATCGCCGTCGAATCTCGGAGGTCCTCGAGGTTTCAATGCGGATCGGACGTGAAGATCGTACTCCGGGGTCGATATTGGCGAGAAATTGGAATCGGAGGATCGCGTTGGCAGCGCCGACGGTCGCGGGAGGTTCGGGATCAGCGGCGTTCATTCGGAGATACTCTCGACGCTCCGCGTCTCCTCCTTCGAATTCCTCCGAGGTGGCATCCTTGGGATCGATTCGGCCCGCCGCACACGCACAGCCCGGACGCGTTACCGGGGGTTATTATCGATCGATCCGGAATCACTGGTCGTGTTCGGATCGGCGCCGAGCATAGCTTGCCTCATCCCCGGCCGTCGAAACGTTCGTTCCCGTTCTCGGTCCCGGCTGAGACCCGAGGTCCGCGCCCGAGAACCCTTACGAGAGAATGCAGGAATTCCTCTTGGACTCGGACCGCTCGCGGATCTGCTGCAGGTGCTGCAACTGCGCCGGCGATGGCACGTGAGCGCTGCTGCTACGGGAATTCAAATGCTGCGGCGGCGGCAACGACTGCCGGCGACGTCGACGCAACGCCGGGCTCAGGTTGTACTTCAGCTTCGCCTGGATCAGCAGCTCCTTGAACACCTGCGAGATGTTCACGTTCTCTTTCGCCGACACCTCCACGAAACCGTTCTCCCACTTCAGCGTCACCAGCTCCCTCGTGCTCTCCGTGTCCACCTGCAACAGCCACCGGTTAGAATCGACGACAGATTTAGGCGGTATTCATTTTTGCAATCTCTGACAAGAAGTATACAGTAATTTCTCTATAATTCGCGCTGAAATTGCGCACAGAAATGGACAATTTGGGAAGAGGAGACACGATTATTCGAGCCTTGCGTCTCGTTTTTGTAGTTGTTGACAATCGGTAATTATATCGGTATCTCCTCTTTCCAAATTGTCCATTTTTGTGCGCAATTTCAGGGCGAATTAGGGAGAAATTACTGTATTCCAACACCTTTTATGACATTGTTTTGTTTTATAACGCTAGCTTTACGGAAGCCGACAAAATGGCGGATCACCACTTTTTCAATCTACGATCGTTTGGATTGCGAACATACGTTTATGAGTTATTTATTCGATACATGTGTCACTTACGGCAAATATTACGACACTCGTTCAAAATTAGAACACGAACGTCTTGTTTAGTTAGTTTTATGAATTAATATAGAACAGATGCTTTTGTCGCTCCGTGAATCTAGTGTTGAGACTGGTCTAAATGACATGAATTCTTTTGAAAATGTTAGGGCGACTAGTTTACTGTACGATGGCTAAAATAATGCTTTTTAATTTTGCTACTTTTTTACACGAACCTGGAACGAAAACTTAAAAGACGCGTTTCGCAAATCTCGGTAACTTCTTATGCATGCTGGAAATTTGTGGTGCGAGTCGGACAAGATTGGAATATATTCCGGGTACACGTAGACTCGGGTCGTCGCCGTGATAGGGTTAATTAGAACACGATGTTGAAGAACGTCTCGTTACGTAAATACAAAGAAGAACCACAATTGTCCGAGCTATTTACGAGAACCTGAACGTTCTTATAATAGAACAGTTACGCGAATACTGTCCAAGATTAGATCCTTAGCAATTACTAATCAGTAGATCTGTAAAATGAATAGTCGGCTTACATCGAGTAATTCGCGCGTGAAACATGTTTGCATCGTCGCTACTGCGAGTCCGCGGATTTTATGCAATTATGACAAGAAATGAGTCATTTGAAACAGCAGAAAGATCAAAAGAAACCGAGAATTTTATTCTATTAACCTGAACTTCTTTCAAAACATTTAACAATGGACAGAAATTGTGCTTGTTGTTGTGTCTTGCAATTTTGACGCAGATAATAAATATTATAATAAATATTAGAATTTAATGTAGAAATAAATATTTCTACATTAAATTTTGCAGTCTAACAATACCGACTTAACGATAGGGGCCGTGAAGGTTAACTCACCGCCTGTTTGGAGACGACCAGATCGACCTTGTTGCCGACGACGACGATCGGCACGGCGCCCTTCGCGCTGTAGATCTGCGCCTTGAGGGTCTCGACCTCGAGGAAGGTGTTCGCGTCGTTCACGTCGTAGACGAGAATGAACGCGTCGGCGGACTTGATCGAGAGGTCCCTCATCGCCGGGAACTCGTAGGAGCCGGATGTGTCGAGGATGTCGAGGGTCAGGTGTACCCCGGAGACGTTGAAGTCCCCGTGATGCATCTCCTCGACGGTCCGCTTGTACTTCGCGGTGAACGTGTTGTAGAGGAACTGATTGATGATGGCGGACTTGCCGACCTTCGCGGCGCCCATCACCACGATCTTGTGCCTTATATTGCTGTCGGCCGGTTTACCGCCGCCGCTGTCCGATTCCGACAGCCTCTCGTTCCTGAAACGATCATCGATCCGGTCCGAGGTTATTTCGGGCTCTCCGGCGCGAGGGGCCGAGCTTTCTCATCGGGCTGACGACGGTCGCGCCGAGCGCGATCAAACTGTCGCGGTAAAGCAAAATTAGAGGGCCTACCGGGCGAGTAAAATTTCTTAATGTCCCCTCTTCTTGGCGCTGGAATCGACCCCTAACGAGGCTACGGGCGTCGAAAAGAGGAAGAGAGAGGGAGAAAGACGCGGACAAGAAGTGCCTCGCGTTTAAGGGGACAACGGCCCCCGGGCCGAGAGAATGGCGCTAATGAACGTTAAAGATCCCTTTCACAGGCATCACGGCGTTATTGAGCACGCGTTTTGTGCCTGTCCTGGATTCGTGCTTCGCGAAGGTCTACGTGTCTCCTCCGCGGTCGCTGTGCTCTTTGCATGCACCAGATAACAACTGCTCCCCCTAAGTATCTTCGTCTCCGTAATCATCCACGCTTATTACAGGAAAGAGCCGGGCCGTGGTTATTACCGTCCGCACAAAGGAAGAAGAGCCGAGCTTCCCTTTTTGCGAAGTCTCGCCGCAAAATTAAAGCTCGGCCCGCCATATCCCCGCTACCGACAGCGAGTCAAGAGGAGAGGCCAGAGATGAAGAGGCCGGAAGAAAGGAGCCAAGGAGGAGGCGGGACCTGCTAAGGGTAAGTGGTTGAAGGCTGAATGTGTTTCAAGTAGCATGCTAGATGTGATCTCTCTCTCTCTCTCTCTCTCTCTCTCTCTCTCTTTCTCTCTCTCTCTCTCTCTCTCTCTTTCTCTCTTTCTCTCTCTCTCTCTCTTTCTCTCTTGCTTGTTTCGGCCCCGTTCTCCTCCCTTCCCCCAAGAGTTACGCAACTTTCTCGCTGGTTCCCCTGTTGGAAATTTCGCGGCTGATATTCGAAACGTGCGGACAGTTAATTGCGACCGTGATTGCGGTGGAGACTGGGTGCGAACGATACTTCGGGGTTGTGTTACTGGAAATATTTCGGGGTTCGTTAGCTACGGGTAATGAAACTGTTCCATTTAATTGCGCCTGGGGAAAGTAGCTATCGTCGAGGTTTAACCGGTAACTTTGCCAGATTTTCGACGACGGTCTAGCTAGGCTCGTAATTAGATCGCGAACTTTATGCATTTGTGGAAAGAATGATTAGGCGAGACGCGGATCAGCGACAAAATTCTACTGTTACATTATTTTCAACTTATTGGACTTATTAACGCTCTGAAAATTAAATTAAATCTGTTTTAGACGCCGACCTTTTAAGTAAAAATAAATAAATAATAGCAAGCAGAAAATAATAAATAAATTTCTTTTATGGTGTTTTATAAGCTATATCGCGTTAAGAAAGGAAACACTTTTATATTTTACATTAGTTTGTTGAAATTGAGATAGAAAATGGTGGTTAAAAAAACAGATTGGAAGACGCAATTAAAGATACACTTAGCAATTCGTTTCCAATCGTTTGTTACAGCAAAGTTTGTCGCGTTCGTTTGAAACACAGAATCTCGATTAAGATTCAATCTGCAAAATGGCTGAAATATCGCTCGATCATCGGAGTGACTATTTCTACGGCGCGTTAAGGAAATGGAAGTTAAATGAAATTTTCTTTCCTTTGCTAGGCCATTCGGCAAATTAAAAGTGTAAGGAAATTGTGCCGCATCCTATCGAATATTACGGTTTCGGTCTTCGACTGCGTATAAAATTTCGCAGCGTGATTACAATCAACCGTGTCATATCTACTTCGCGAAGAAACGTGGAATATTCAATCCGCCTTATCAAATAAGTCCAGAAAAAATTGCTGGTACACAAAAATGAACAATTTACCATGATCATACCATGTTTAAATTTTCAGCATTTATTCACATAAAGCAAACGGATTTAGAAACGTGAAAATCGTTGCGAATTATGCTATGACGCTTCTTAATGGCGTTGACGAGAGTCGCTACTCGAGTGCAAAGGGTTGAACGCTGCGAAAACTATACAGACCCGTGTCGCGTTTTCTCACCTGACATGCTTCGTCGGCCCGTCTTCCTGGCCCTCTTTCAAGGACGACGGCTGTAGACTGAAGCGTCGTCGAAACTGATGCCGTCCTTTCATCATTTGTGCGGTGGCGTTCCTATAAAAAAGAAAAACGAAGCAAGGTTCACAAGGTGGATCAGTTCATCAGGGGCCTCGTAAAACGGAAAAATTCGAGAGTGACGAGCCGGTGAAACGACGACGTAACGTATTCCTCGTTAAACCGTCGGTTTCTTCCAATTTCTACGTGCTCGGAGCCGAAGCTGCCGGCCGGCGTGTAAAACGCTCTTGGACAGCTATTACGTCGTCTGCGCTCGGTTATAGATCTCTTGCGAGCGCCGTGGAAAAAGCTTATGACAGGGGAGAGATGATACACCGTCTGTATTATATTACACACCGTCTCTCTCTCTCTCTCTCTCTCTCTCTCTCTCTCTCTCTTCGTTTCTCTTTCGTTCTGCTCGTTGGCACAGCTCCGTTACAGCCGAGAAATATTTCGCGCGATTCTTCGAGCTTGCACGTGCGTCCGTTTAATTGTTCCTCCCCCGCTTATCCGAACGCGATTCCTCCCCGTCAGCTCGATCCGCTCGCAGACGGATCCAACGAACTGTCCACGCGACTTCCGGAAACCTTCGAACCTGTTTTCACGGGGACGCCGATTGATCTACCCGCGGATGGACGTCCGCGTTTCTGATAAAGCTCGGCGAACCACGCGCGACGAATGTTATATCGATCGGCCGGACAGTTTGCCGCGGTCGCACGAACGTTGATTCCGCTGCTGCCCACGGCTGCCGGAAGTTCGCGCATTATTGTTTGTCCCAATTCGGGAATCCGAAGAACTTTTCGCGCAAGCACGGGAAAACCTGGCCGCCCTACGGGCCGAATCGCGGCTGCGATGATTTCGAAGTCCTCTGGAAAGCGAAAGTTCCGAGTGGACTCGAACCTCGAGAACGGAGGCTCGTTTTACAAGTACTTCGAGGAGGGCTGTCGGCGCTTTAAGCATCATCGAATCTTGAACATGGTCGAATCTTTCGCGAGTAACTCCGGCTCTTGCGGTAGACTCGGCTTATCGGCGGGCGGGGTCTCTGTAATTGGGCCGAGAAACTTTCGAGACGAATCTCTGAGGAAGCAGAAGTTTCACGGAAATCGGATTTTCCTTTATAAATGATACGAAAACAGCGCCGCGGTTTGATCACGTTCAAAATACCTTCGTACTTTGTGCAGCGGATGCTTAATGCTTTCGGCGCAAGCGTCGCTGGTGTGCATAATTAAATTAATCGTATTTATTGTATTTATCGTATTAAATACATCGCATCCCGTTAGAAAGCGTGATGAAAGCGTCGTCAAAGGGAAGCTATAAATTCTCTAAATGTCGTGCTATGTGTTACAATTTTCAGTAATTATATTCACGAGATTCGTTTGACGTTCTTTACGTGAGATGCGAAATCGCGGTCGTCGCACATGTGTAAATCTGTTAGCGAACGTGTTAAGGAACTACTGTATATTTAAGTGAAAAGAATTTTGAAGACAAGCACAAACACTTCAGGTATTTTCTAGCAGGTGATAAAAGATGGTCAATTAACCCTTTGCACTCGAGCGGTGACTCTGAGGCACCGCTAAAATTGTTACGTTACGTTCCAAGATAATTTTTATATCACCAAAGCTTAGATACAAAAAAAAATTATAAATTTAACTGTTGTATGTGTCACAAGATTCAGTTTCATACGCATGAAATGCGCTTTGTCACATAAAATGGAAATATTATAAGTCAGAAATGTTAATTTAGATTTACAGTTAAATTGGCTTCGAGTGCAAAAGGTTAATATGTTCCAGGCAAAAATAATTAATGACATTTTACAGTCCCCGAGAGAATTGTTCGAGATTCTGTGAAACGATACTTGGACGTTGAAATAAACCGAAAATATAACAGTGTAAAATAAATTAGATCCAGATCGAAGGAAAAAATCGGAAGATACAAAAAGAGCAAAATTTATTACTTCAATAAACGTCGATAAAGTGTAACAAGAAGAAAATTTATGTACTTGGAATCTGAAAGAATGTGTATAGAAAGTGCCAAAAAGCTCCACCACACGCCTCCTTTAATAAAAAAGAAACAAATCTGAATAAATCGAGAAACAGCCGCGTAACGCGAAGTTCGCGTCGCAAAAAGGTTTGTTCGAACGCGTAATTTCCGATCGCGACAACGTCGAGCCCGTGACGATCGTGGTGCACTTGTTCGCGAAAATGTTCGAGGCTTTGTTCACGGCGAGCGTTGAGCGAATCGCCGTCCGTGAAAGGTCGCAACCTCGGCGACACGGAATATTCGCGAGCTTAACGAGGAGATGCCTTGCATTTCAAAGGTTCGTTAAATAGGATTCGTACGGAGCGATTAATGCTCGTCATCCTTTCGTCGCGAAGTAAGCTGGTGTTAAGACGCGAGCACGAGGATCCCCGGCTCAACGGGAAAGCTGAGAGAGAGAGAGAGAGAGAGAGAGAGAGAGAGAGAGAGAGAGAGAGAGAGGGAGGGAGAGAGGGCTCCTATGAATTTGCAAACACCCCTGAAAATTATTCACTGCCGGCTTGTGCCGTGCGAATGTACGCTCGCGAAACGGCGCGGCGCCTTCGTCGGAACAATATTCCGCGGGGATAGATTCGCAACAGATGGATCGTTAACTTTAGACTCCATTTGCTTTAATACCGCGTCCGTCTGAGAGAGCTGCTGCAGTTTCGAGTAATTTGTTTGCAGCTCGTTTCGGTGGAACGCCTCTGTCATTGCGACTGCAACAGAGCTGCCGTTTCAAATGGAATGACTTCAAATTTGAATAAATAGCTCGGGAGTGTTTTCGGAGAAGGTGGAAGTACTCTGACGGAGTTCATGAAAAATCGCGGACGATCGATTAGGGAGGTCAGATTCAGGGAGAAACGATAGGCGAGGGAACATGGAAGAATCGAGGAACGAAAGCGCCATTTTTATTATCACCAGAATTACCAAAACAGTCATCTGACTGGTTTCTGATTGCTTCTTTCATTTTTCCTGATGTTATAAAAATGTTTACCTACACAAATCTTTACGAAAACACTTCTTTATTTCAGCGTAGATTGCGGCAAAAATCGTACGAAGTTTGAGTAAATTCAATCTCGTCGTTTTTGCGAAACAATGTATATTAATCGTGTTCGAGGCTCGGTGGTTCCAGTGTTGAACAGTTGCAAGTTATTGAAAACATTGGATTTTCGAACGAATCGGAATTCATTAAGTTGTTCAGGTAAACTGGTACTTCGAACTTCACGAGAAGATCCAGATCGTTTCGTTGAATTTCAAAATCTTTGTTCTGTTTTACATCGGCAGCATCGCGATCTCGAGAAGCAAAGAACATTGAAAACACCTTGGCAGCAGTTTCTCTCCAGATTTTTACGCGGGCGGAATTAATGCTGCCGTGAAAGTTGCAAAACTTGCGTCATTTCCTTTTCGAGGCAAACGGATCGAATCGTAAGAACTCGGCAGAACGACCTGCCGTTTCTTTGCACAGCGCGTTCGCTACTTTATCGAGGTTCCGGAGGAAGTATCGGACACGCGATAAAATCGAACGAAACCTTAATAATTATTCAGGAATAATATACGATAGTTCGGATCATTTTCCACGCATCTCGTTATAATTCGACGTCTTAGGTGCACTGATCGGTACATACTTCGTGCCGAACAGCCGCGTGCAGGGACTTTTTAAGTCGTTCCGGGGGGGGGGGGGGGGCGGGGGAGGGACGAGCTGCGACAGAATAAAAATCATTCAGGAGCTTCGATTCGGGATACACGGCTGAGTATTTGTTTACAATTCGTCGATCGCGCGCGTCACGGAGCAACAGGAAATTTCATTGCGCGATGAAAAAGGTGTTTGCTTTGCGTAGATTTCTTTTGGTTCTCGTCGTTCNGGGGGGGGGGGGAGCAGCGGAAGCAATCAGAAATTTAAAGGGGTTTTATTTCTTATTTTCCGTGTTCGGGGAAATGACTCGGGACGATCTCGGCGGCGACCGACTCGGGAAATGGAGTACTGTGGAAAAAGAAGGCGAGGAAGATGAAAATTCGTTAGACGGTAACGTCGTAAAGTTTTCGCTGGGGCCCTCGGCTGTCGCGACTGATCCGCGAAAGCGACAGTGGATCAATTTATCGGGGCGTGCAGGGGTAACTTTTTCCGGTAAAATTCGGCACATTTCGTAACTGCATACGATTTTCAAGAAAATCGGTGCTCTTATGTTTTCAAGATTGATGAATTTGAATATGTCATAAGCAGATTGTAGATTTCATGCGTTCGCGATCAAAATGAATTTAAACAATTTAAAGATACTATTGTATTACGACCAACTTGTTGAACTTTTTCAGGAAAGAAATAAATGCCTGTTAAATTCCTGCAGCTTGCAGTCAATGCAAACAATTTTTATTTTGCGTACAGGTCCGCAGTCTAGTTATAATAACATTCAGCGACATTCTAAGTGGAATATCAGATAGTTTTAATTTATACTTTTCCTGGATATCAATAATTATCAGATATTAGGGTTGATGGCCGTTACTGGATACTTCAAATTTTAATACAACTAATATAATATAATTAATATATTTACTTATTAATTATATATTAATAAATAATTTTATATTTATTAATATATTTATTTATATATAATTAATATTTTTATATATTACAACGTAATCATTACTAACGGTCACTCAGACCGGTAATGTTTATCGCGTTATTATTGATATCAAAGTGTTAAATAAAAAATCAAAATCAATTGTTTTGACTTTGTATATCGATAACGAAGAGGTCCAAAAGTTCGATTGCGTAGAAGCAAGTGTATTAAAAACTTAGAATTTTTCTCACAATTACGAAGAAAAAATATAAATGAGAATGGACGTATAATTAGTAGCGGTCTCGCACATCGTTTAATAGTTAATTCAAAATTATTTTGCGTCCGTTTGTGTACGAAGTTTATCCTTATAAAGTGTACGCTCGAGGCAGTGAAGATGTTACCACCTTTATGGTAAGCACGAGAACTCGTCAACTTTGACGGTCTATATCTCGGTGTCAGTAGCCATACCCGATATTTTATAATTTC